TAAAAGAATGATTAATACCATTACTGCTTTTATCCTATTAACACTCTATTCACAAAGATTTCTGTAACTAAAAGAACTTAGAAATGGTGGCTGGCACCTAGTTCATATTAAATAAATATCAGTATCATGATTGGCATTAATTTGCCATGAATGAGGACACGAAATTACATGCTAAATAGGAGAATTTGTATGCTTGTGCTGTTACACTCAACATGAAGAAACTGTTATAAATTGGGTCAAAATTATGAAATGTAAAAAATAACAATAATTCCGTGAACACTTCATTACAAGCAAAGAAGGAATTTATTAATATTGAGAGAAATTTATTGCATAACACTTGCCTTCGAGAACCTAGACATAGTCAACCAAGTATAAACACATTCCAGAATGTAAGAGTTCACTGCTAAGTAATAAAGAAAATAACAAGAACCACATCTACTAACATTTTCTGAGCACTTACTACATGCCAGGTACCACCCTAATCATTTCTCAAAGTCAGTGTTAAACTTTATGTTCTTAAGACACCCAGGAAGACAGCCTCCATTTACCAGATGAGAACACTAAATGTAGAGGTCAGCCTGTCTACCCAAGGTCATACAGCTGATTCCAAAACAAGACTTTACTCTTGATGCTAATAACTCCTTGTAGATTGAACAGAACAGAGGAGGGGAAAGTCAAGAAGACTTCCAGAAATGAGAGAAAGAAAAACAAAGAGAGAGCTTGATAATTTGTTTTGCCAATAATAGATTAGCATTTCACCCAAAAAAGGGTATTTTTAATATGAAGGCAGAAAGGAAAATCACAGTACTCATTACCTTACTCAGGTAACTGTAATCCCTCTGTACTGTATCTTTACAATAAAAAAGTATATTTTAAAAAAGAGAAAGGAAAATCACAGCACAAATCCAAGAAATAATAGTGACCTTGTAACCACATGTATGTGTGTGCATGGGTATGACATGTCTTTCTCGTTTCACCACATGCTAGTATGAATCAATATTTTTGGCCAACGTTGCATCCAGTCTCTCCATGATTAACTTAATACTTACTTTTGCATTCTTATTTCGGATTTACAGGAAGTTTAATAAGAGCTGTCTACAAGGGTAATAAAAATATAAAAAGAAAATGGAATTCAAATAAGCCAGTCCTGAACTCTGCTAAGGAAAAGATAACTACAAGGCCATAGAATTTTGAAGAGGAAACCAAACAAAGGAACCATGAGCTACCATGTTCTAAGATGTTGTTTTTCCATCCAAAAAGACCTACAGAGTTCTCTTGCTCCTAGGAGCTCACTGAACAAACCTACATTTGTTTCTCTGACATGACTATGCTAGTGTTTGAATTTGGGGCTCACTCTGATATTCTCCTCCACCCACTTTTCAAAACTCATTCTCAGGAGAACACACAGAGGTTTCAAAAACCTTGTTAGAGGACGAAAATACAACCAATTCACAACTAATTCTTCATTAGAATCTTTTCTAGCACACACAACTTCATCAGTTAATATGAATGAAATGAGGTTCACACAATATACATCCAGCAACTTCTCATTTCTAAAGTCAAGGAGGATTAAGAATTTAACTGTGCCTCTTCTTAGGAAATGCTTCAATAGCTGAACCCCACTGAAGCACATATAAATCCCTCTTTGGAAAAAGCTTGGTGGACACCTATTATAAAAAGAACCCAATGTTGAATGCAAAAAAGAAAATGAAAATCCAACAAAAATTACTTGTTGCAGATGCAATTTTAGGCCAGTGGGGATGATTCTGCCCAGTTCATGGCATGTGACAATATCTGGAGACATTTTGGGTTGTCACAGATGACAAAGGCAATACGGGCCCCTCGAAAGAAGAGACTAAGGTTACTACTAAACGTCCTACAATACACTAGACAGTCACCTATACAACAGAGAATCACCTGGACCAAAATGTTAAAGGTACAGAGGCTGAGTACCTGTTCTTAGGTATGGGATCCCAGAGTTCACAAGAAATGCAGCAGAATCCTTCTTCCCTTTCTGCTTACAGTCTGGTGTGGAGACACACACAACCAATAAAATGGATTAGTCTAATAGGTACTAGGTTATAATATGGGTGTTACCAGAAAAGGCACAGCTGGGTAAGACCAAGAATGCAGAGGGATAGCAACTGTGACCACACGGATTAGAGAAGAGTCACACTACTAGTGTGGTAGGAATCATGGGAACAACATTCATAGGAATACTGGCAGCTAGGGGTACAGGCTGTCTAGGCAAGACAGTCTAAGAAGCTGCAAGTGCTTTATACAAAGATCCATGAAGTGAAGGAGGCTGGGGAATTTCAGGAGCATGAGGAAACTAATACTGGCTGAAGCACTGGGACTCCCAGGCAGACAGCAGCAACGATAAAGGTCAGTGCTGACAGGTAGTATGACTACCTAGGCTGCCTACCAAGTGATGCATTATTGTGGGAGCTGTCCTGTGTGCTGTAGAAGGGACGGCAGCATCCTTGGCATCTACCGAATGGAGGTCAATAATAATCCCTGTCCATTGTGATAATCTTAAGTGTCTCCAGAGGTTGCCAAGTGATTCCTGGGTAACAGAATCAAGTCACTTTCTGGTTGAAAAAAAAAATCACAGCAACATTTCAGCTTCCAAATTAAAAATCTAGTAAAACTGGATGAGGACAGTAGGCAGTCCAGCTAAGAGCCAACTGCAGTAACTCAGGTAAGGGCCGATAGTGGCTTGGCTCAGAGCAGAAAGAGGAGTTGGCAAGAAACGGCCCACTCCAAGGAGAATACAATGGATAGTTATCAGCTGCTGTAGCAGCAATGTTAACCTTTGAATTACAAAACTTTTTTTTAAAAACTAGGACATAGAAGGAATGAAGTGCTGTAGCAAAGACTTCAGATAAAAAGCAACAAGAAGGCCCTGAGCAACGTGTAGCCCAACAGATTGTCACACAACAGATGTCAATGACAATACCTTAGACAACTGTGGGAAACAGTATAGGGAAATGTTGCCAGCTCCATCTATTATTCACAGATTTTATTTAACTGGTTTATTTCAAAGAGCATGTGTCTGCTCCACATACAAAATTTACAACTTTTTTTTAATTTAGCCTGCCTTCTCCATGCTGGTTTTACCCCTGCACCTGCTTCAAGAACCAACGTGTGAAGCCATCTCTTCCCACATACCCACATTTTTTTTTCCTTACACGTGCTCACTAGCAAGCTGCTGAGGATGTGTGCCCTTGTAAGTCAATTTTGCTGACTCTGTAAAAAGAACAAGCCCAAATCCTTCACCCTGAGTGTGGTGGCACTCAGCTGGCTTTTTCCAGATGGCATTTTCCTCACTCCCTCAAACTCATTTAATGTTATGTATCAGCTACCATCAAAAATGTTCCAAACAGTCCAGTTAATTCATTTCTTTCAGGACCACACACACACACACACACACATACACATTCTGGCCATGTAAGCATTTGCTTATAGAAGCAAAAGCAGAGACTGCTCAGTAAAACACTGGTCCCTTCAGCCGAATACACATAAAGCCCCAATGAGCATAACCAACAATACCCCCTTACACAATATTACTCAAAATCCCCAGCCCCCAACACACAATCCATGCTCCCTCACAGAATAGCTATTATGAGGAGAAACCACCAACTAAAGCTGGCTTCATGCATCTAATTGCCTGAGTTTTCCCTCTATCTGTCTGTATGACAGCCAGGGAAGGTCTGCTCTTCCCCAGACTTTCATCCCCAACTTGGGCTCAAAGTCCTACCTCGGTGCAGAGGGAAACAAACCTAGATCCACTTTTCATCAGACCTTCTTTCTCTCCAGAAGCAAAAATTCCACAGCCTTATTCCTGACCCCAGTGTCTGCCTTCATTTCCCCTGGTTTCTGGACCAGCTTCCCTTCTGCCAGTGGGCCCCCTCCTACCCAGACCCTAAGTCACAGCTAGGCCAGGGCAGGAAGGTTACTCCACTGATCAACTTCTAGTCACAGCCTTATCTTATCTCACAACTTGAGGAGATGGAAATAAACCCTCGTTTATCTCAGTCTCCACGCACCATCTCCCGCTTGGTAAACACAGAAAATGAGAAGTTCTAGGGGGGTCCCGGAGTGGCCAGTGGATGGCCAGAAAGGAAAGCATGCACCCCATTCTCCCAGACAAGCCGGAACAGAGGTAGCCAAGAAGCGTGGCCCAAAGGAAGTGGGCACCGCTGAGAAGGGTGAGGGGGGGCGCCACGTTGGAGGGTGCCTTCACTCCGCTCCTAAAGTTTGGGAAATGTTCGTGAATTAAACACGTGGCACTGCCAAGTAGTGAGCATGCCCAACAATCCTCTCTGGTCCAAAGCTTCCCCCCCCCCAGGCCCCCTCCCCCGCCAACCCCCGCATTGAAGGCATCGGACTCCTGTCCAGGGCGCTTCACCCGGGCAAGGAGACACGCCCCCCGTGTCCCCCGCCCCTCCCGCGCTCCCACGTGTGGTCCAGCAGGTGAGAGGCGGGGCGCGGGGAAACTTCCTTCACCTGGAGTCCTTCCCAAAGGGGCTGCAAAGCAGGAGACTCCTGGAGAGCTCAGAGGCTCCTCAACCCCCCCACCCCCACCCACCCACCCACCCCAGGTCCCCTTCTCCGAGCGCTCAGCCTGCGGGGGGTGAGGAGAGGGTCTCCAGGAAAAGGGGTTCAGTAGAAACCTTGCCCTCCCTCGGCCCGCCTGGCCAGGCGTTCGGTCAGGATTCTCCTCTTTCTCCGCGTCCTCCCCCCCACCCCACCCCGCGCACCTGGACCCGGGTCGCTCCCCAGCCCCCACCCGCCCGCAGCAGCTGGCATGGCCACGGTCTCCCCCGCACCCCGGCGCCCCCGAAGCGCGCTCCGTCCCGCGGGCCCCCACCGGGCGGGGGGCCGGCCGCCTGCGCCCCGAGGCAAGGGCACGGGGTCCTTGTCCCAGAACTCGGGAGGGGGGCTCTGCGGGCCCCCCCGGGCCCCCCGCCGCGCCCCCTCCGGCTGTCACCGCTCACCTGCTCTTCAGAGGCTGACTTTTGAGTTCGTAATAGGTTTTGGGCTCTTCGTGAAACTCCTCCCCGACTTCGAAATCCGGCACGATCCCCGACTCCGACTGCATGGCTCCCTTCTCGCCCGCCTCCCACCGCCGGAAAGTGAGAAAGAGAGCCCAGGGGACGACAGGGAAGGTGCTGGGTGTCTGAGTCCTCCTCCCCCACGTCCCCCCAAAAAAGACGTGCGCCCCGCGCAGTGCCCGGCTCAGCCCCGCTCACCCGCGCGGCTGCAGCCCGCCCCGGCGCGGCGAGTTTACACTCGCACCCCGGCGGGAGGGGCCGGAGGCCCAGTGTCGACTGGGATTTGTAGTTCATCCTACCCGAGGACACCCGGGAGCCTGAGGGAAGCCACGGGCCTTCGAAAACTACCACTCCCAGAAGTCCGTGCGCGGGGCTGAGGCAACGTGGTGGACACCGCTAGTGCAACTCCTGTTTGGATTCATTGTCAATGTCAGCAGCTCCTCTCCCTCGCCTCTCCCACTCGCCTCAAGGGTACAGACCCTGATATTTAATATTAATCAGAAGGGACTCAGCTTGCCGGCCTACCGTCACTCCTTCCTGGGCACGCCGAGCTCCCGGTTTTAAAAATAAAATACTAAAGGGCATTGGCACGGGAAAGTTTCAGCCCTGGAGCCTGCCTTCCGATAAAAGGACTTCCCATTCAGCCCTCGCGCTGCCCGGGCTGCTGCGAGCCTTCACCCGCCTGTCCTCCAAGTGGAACCGGGGGGGTGGGAGTGGGGGGGAATGCACTTCGCTTCCTAACGAACATGATGAGTGGGGGAGTTGTGCTTGTGCGTTCTCTTTCTGGAACGAACGGTCTCTGGGCTTTGGACAGTGCCGTTCAGCCGCGGAGGGTGGCCCCCACCTCTCCAATTAGCCACCCCTCATCCACAGCAGCACTGGAAAGGTTCGGTTAATTGAAAAAGGCACGAGGTTACAAAACAGGGTCGTGGCGGGCTGCTTTCAATTTCTCAGCTGGCTGGGAGTTCAAATGAGATTGTCCTAACTCGTCCCGAGTGTGTCCACCCACGTCTGGGCTTCCCAGCACTCACTGAAGGTGAAGGAATTCAAGACTCGCTGGTAGCTCATTTGTGCGGCCAGTCCTGCCCTCTGATTAGTTCCGGTTGGAAGTTTTTCTTTTCGTTTAAAAAATAATAATAATGAACGCCAGTGTCTCGAAGCCTCAGAAGACAGCAGGGAGTATAAAATTCAGACTTGAAATCCTTCGTTCTTCTAAGAAGTTCTGTGCAATCTTAGGCATGTCCTGTGATTCCTAGAAGCTTCGATTTCCCCATTTATGAAAAAAAATTGGGAAACTTGTTTTAGAAGGTGGTGCAAGGTCAAATGTAAGAGAAAGTGGTTTGGAATCTATTCTTTTAAAGCTGCTCAATGGTCTTTTGCTGTTGTTCTTAATTCCATATTGAACATATTCCTTGCAGATTAGCAGCTCACTTGCTCACTGATCCTCTCAGAAGTAATAAACTAAGTCACCACCTGGAAATGAAGCTTTTTTTAAAAATTTCACATCAGTCCATGTTCAACATAAGATAGGTTGTTGGTTTTGTGTTTAGAGCCTGGATTTGGGGAAAGTGCAAGAGGCATACTGTGTCAGCATAGCGATTACAAAAATCATATAATAAAATCGAGTCCTTCCTTCAGTCCTTCATTATAACTACTGACATATAGCAGAAAAGGCCCCTGAAGAAAGCAGGGAATATTTATTGATAATGGAAGCATGAAAATGAAGAAGTGTGACCCTCTGTCAGAAGAAGAGAAAAACTAAAACACAAAAGGACCGACCGTGTGATCCAGACTCTTGATTTCATCCAGATTCTCCACCTTTGGGACTTTGTATGCCTAAAGAAACATTGATTATCATAAAACTTTGTAGCTATTCCAGACATTTAAGGAGGATGAGCCATAGACACTAATTACCATGCACAAAAAAAAGCTTCTTTGTCCAAAATGTCATTGGCACCCATACTGAGAAAGAAGAAGTCAGCCATCTTTGTGGTTTAACTCTTCAGAATCTGCCTGTGTAAGCTGGAGAAGCCAATGGACCTTGTCTTCATAATAAACACAGATGAGAAGAAAATGCTATACATGATTTTGTTCCAGTGGCCTTTTAAAGGCTACACAGACTTCATGGTAAAAACCAATCTCTCTTGAAATGGAATCCAGTGTCAGTCATTATATTGAACAGCAACCAACCAGACCAAAGGGATCAACTTAGACAAGTTTGTCAGGAAAGCCAAGACTCCTGAACTTGTCTCCAACTAAATATGTTTTCCACAGAGATTTCTGGGGTACAGAGCTTTGAGCTGAGGTTCACTTGAGGCGCACACACAGAGCTTTCACATTTTCCATCTATGTGTTGCTTTCATTCTTCTCTGCTCTTTCTTCAGAGACACTTCCAAGTGTTATCCTCACAGTGCCATTTTCCACTCAATGAAGTAGATCTATAGCTTCTTCCTGAGCTTCTTCCAGAGGGTCCCAGGAATGAACAGAGGGTCCTAACATGGCTAGCAGCCTTCCTGGGGATTTTTCTGCTAAGGTACTTGTGGAAGAATGTCTGATTTGGGGAGCATGATGCTAGAAGGAAGAAAACCTGGACTTATCTATGGCATCAGGAAAGCTGATCTAAGATGGGAGACAATGAAATAAGATTAACATAGAGGAGCAGAGACAAGCAAAGCTGAGAATTCGAAAATACAATAGCAGTGTCTCCATGCCTTGAGATATTCTTAGACGATCCAAATATAAGAACAACAAGATTAAAATTTCTTTTTTGCTGAAACTATTTTGCTTTAAGCTTTCTGTCACCAAAAGAGCTTTGTTTCATTATCATAAAAATCTTTCCCTCCTTTAAATGGATAATTTCCTACAGCTTGCTACATCATTAATCCACATAACAAAAAGTTGACCACTTGATAGATGTGCCCTGGAATTTCTCTTCATTAATGAGTTAAAAACAGGTACTGCTTCAGAAATAGATGATAAATGAATAGCTCTGTACAGTGAAACTAATGAACAAAAGACTATAGATTTTCATTACTATCATTTGTACCACCTACATCATGTAATACTTTACATACATTTGTCTTATGAACCTCTTCTTGGGTCTCATAAAACTTTCTGCAAGGACTATGGTACCTGACCCAGTGCTGCTCTTATCCTCCTTTTTTGTGCCCATTCTAAAGAGACATGAGGGTCCTTTCTCTTTCTGAATAACATCTTGGATGCACTCTTTCTTGTTGTGTATCCTTGTTCCTGATGTAAGATGTTCCGAATGTAAAAATGTGCCTAATGTAATGTCCCGAATTCCTCTTGCCTGTATTGGGTAGCATGGGGATAAGAATTTAAATGCTTATTCTTGGATTTCATTTGAAATAAACCAATTTTATAATCATTTTTAAGCTCCTGCAGAAATGGCTAAGCAAAGGCCCCAAGATACCACACATTGAGTATACATATACACTAGCTGTAAGACATTATTGTAATCCATGTCCATGGAAGGCTCCAATCTCAGAATTAAGTAAAGCTATGTGATCCACTGACAGCCTCACACAAAGGAGCATGCTGAGCAGCAGCACATAGCTGGTATATGATCTGTACTCTCATACCCACCCAGCTTAGTAACTATTTATGACACATCTAATGTGTGCCAGGAACAGTGTGTACTAGGTATGGAGTAGACAGCAGCATTAACACCATGGTCCCTACCCTCAAGACAAGCTTCCTATCATTTTAGAAATAGGAATTGTATATAAGGTAATGGTTATAGACAATAAGCAGGTAAACAGCAAGTGTCTAACTAAAGAGCAACTGGTAAAGATAGGAGTGGTAATGAAGAATACTTAGAGGAAATGTGCCGGAGATAAGTCTTTAAAACTAAACAAAAAGGGGGAAAGAAGTTGGGTGTCATTGCTCATACTGTAATCCTAGCTATTTTGGAGGCTGAGCTCAAGAGGATTGTGGTTTTAGGACAGCTCTGGCAATAACGTTCACAAGACTCCATCCCAATGGAAGGTGCTGGACATTGGAAGTGATGCTGTGTCTCAAGTGGTGGAGCACTAGTCTTGAGCAGAAGAGCTCAGGGACATACCCAGGCCAAGAGTTCAAGCCCCACAACTGGCAAAGAAAAACTTTGAAAAAAAGAAGGTGCTAGAGGTGGCGGTGCCCTCTTATTATATCAGCTACAGTAAGAAGCATAAAATAGACTTACAGCCAGGCATATGCCTGAACAGAACAGGGAACAAAACCCTATCTCAAAAATAACAAGTATAAAAAAAGAGCTGGAGGGGGCTGGGAAAGTGGCTCAGTGGTAGAGTGCTTGCCTCACATGCATGAGGCCCTGGGTTCGATTCCTCAGCACCACATAAGCAGAAAAAGCCAGAAGTAGTGCTGTGGCTCAAGTGGTACAGTGCTAGCCTTGAGCTGAAGAGATGAGGGACAGCGCCCAGGCCCACAGTTCAGGCCCCATGACCGACAAAAAAAAGAGCTGGAGGCATGGCTCAGTGGCAGAATGCCTACATCACAAAAATGAAGCCTTCAGTTCAAATCTCAATAATAACAAATACGAAAGGAAAGGAAAAAAAAACCTAAGAGATATGAAAAGTGAATATGAAAAGTAACCAAGATTTTTAGTCTAGCCACCAACATGAGTAAGAGGAACAAAAAGGATAAAATCACACCAAAATAAAGGAATTCTACACAACTTTGAGAAACTCTTCCAAAAATAATAAATAAAGGAGAAAGACCAAAGAAGAATGGTTATCGGTTTTCAAAGATTCAAAACATACATCAGGGAACCGCTTACACTAAGCAAAAGGAAAGAAATGTACATATCAGCTAGTGTGGAAGAAATAGTTGTATTGTCAAAGCTCAAAGAATTCACAAACATTATATACCATGATAATAACAGTTTGCCTTGTGAAGGTTAACATGTGTTTGTGACTTTATCACTATCTCACAATACTGTTAAATTTATGTACTCACTTAATCTCAATAAAAACTTATTTTAAAAAGACACATGCCATGCCGGGCGCTGGTGGCTCACACCTGTAATCCTAGCTACTCAGGAGGCTGAGATCTGAGGATCGTGGTTCAAAGCCAGCCTGGGCAGGAGAGACCGTGAGACTCC